ACTACGGCAAGGTGATCGGCGAAGATGTGCAAGACTTTCTCATAATTCCGTGGTATCGGAACGAATTCACCGGCGAACCCAAGCGATACCCAATCCAGCATTTTCCACGACGATCATTCCGTCATTGGGTCGGCCTCATCTGTCTTTCGCTTCTCAGCGTTGTCGTCACCCTACTGCAGGCGCGCGCTGCTTTGTCTCTGACTATGCACTTCAACCTACCCTGGATCAGCCATGCTGGGCTGTGGTGGATCGTTATTCCCATCTACACTATCGGGTTCTTTATTTCGTGGTGCGCGGTAATTATTGAGTGTTGCATTCTCCTCGCGCAATGGGGGGTTGTCGTTTGGTGGTTAGGATGGACTGTGAATATTTTTACGTGACGCTTTCGGTTTGCTGTGACTGTATTTTTACACTATTGGGTAATGTACAATAATTTGGATAGCCCAGGAAGACGTATAATATATCCGCAAGGTTATTGAAGCGGTGCTGGTTGCGAACCAGGGGCTGGCTCTACTTGAGAGACACGCAGAGCTTCAATGCTGGCTGATGTCGTAGCCTGCGAGTCTGAGCCTTCGACTGATTGCCCGTTTTGTTGACCGCTGAGATGAACAAAAACGGAGGCAACGGCGGCAGAAGGGGTAGGCGTGGCCATGATGCTGCTCAATTGCATCTGGGGAATGTCTGCAACGGCCTTGCCAGCAGTGATGCATTCCCGGCAATACCCTAGCAAACATTAGCGTATGGAAGCCTGAGATCACTTCATCTAAGCTTACTGCCACCCATCATAAGTGGAACGTCAGTCTGTCCACATGAATGGCACGCAATTGGAGGTGGCGCGGGAGCCTTAGATTTCGTTTGGCTGCGTCGTTTAACAGGCACGGCTTTGTCTTGGGACGAGGATGGAACTCCTAGTACGGTCGTTGGCCTCCGAGAGAGCGACTTCCGCTTGATCCTGTTGCTGTCAGCGCCAGCGGGCTTGACAGGCCTCATGGTATAAGAAGGAGCCAAGGCCTAGGAGGAAATCAAGTAGTGAGCATAGCGCACAAATGGCGGACTTACGCTGCGGATCTCCGCCAACAGCTCGCCCTCAGGTACCCGATACTGCAGGTACGATCTTGGAGCAGCCTGCCTAACCTGTTCCTTCCAGTTCAGCGGAAAGAGTGCAGCCAAGATGGTCTCCACTCACAATTTCAGCTAATTTTGCTTTGCTTTCTTCCATCTTCTGAGGTCCTCCGGCCCATATTGAGAAGAGCTCCCACAAGGTCTGCGATACTCGCGAGAGTCTGAAGCTGATGACCTCAGACGAGATCCGCTTTAAGTGCTCGGCACTCTGCTCGGAGCTCGATGTTTCACTGAAAGGGAGGCGATGGGTGACGATCATATCCGAAGACTTATAAAGCGACCCTGATTTTGGTGCCGCAAGCTCACAGACGACATCGCCTCGAGGAAGGATGAATCGTTCAGACGATCGCTCGTGGAATTCGACAATGATATCAAACGGACGTGAAGGCGCTGGCACTGTCGCAGACCGATCGGTGACGTCGCCAACAGTAGATGTAGAATCTCCCGGCGGCTGAACACCATCGAGGGATTGTATGAGGTACCCCAATGTCTTCACCTGTTGTTCATTTGCGGTACGATTGATAACAGCGCTTAGTAGATTGGCCAGCACGGGGTCGTTCTGTGCAGCCGCAGTGACTCTAGCTGACAGAGCTGGAGTCACATAAGTACCTGAGGGGAAAGCCACAGAAGAGAGCGACGACTGGAGGCCAATGGGTGTCGGAGCCTCGGCAGAGGACGTGTGATGCATAGCTACGACGAACTGACATCGGCCGCGCTGCAATGCATAGTGATCTCGATACGTACCTTGACTTTCCTCCGTCCCCTGTGCTTGTATCGAGGGAAGATAATGCACCTCATATATTGCCGTGTTTGAGAACACATGAGGTCCAATATGGACGTCGTACTTCCCGTGGGCTTTAATGGTATGTGGAGGTGGGGTCACCTCAGCTGGTCTCCCGCCACGAGTCTTGACTGAGAACTTGGGAAACATTGTCGAGAGCCAAACGTTACGCGCTGCGGAATCGATTACAAAGGTGTAGCTGAGCGGATAGTTGGCTAGGGCTTACATTGTCTCAGGGACTGTGCTATGACGAAGCTGGACATTGCGCATTAGTACAGTATGTAGTCGGATACCGGATCACAATCACCAGCGAGATTGAACACTGACCTCTCAGATACACTTTTCAGGTCTGGTCCTTCAGAGCGCGGGCGGCTCAATTCCCATTCAGGGTGTGAACCCGTAGGCAGCTGAATTGTACGATGCATGAGTGAGCTTTTGAGGTAGAATGCTTCCGGTCAAGGCGCAGCTTGATATAATGCGCTGCAGGCGCAATTTGAGCGGAAGAGCACTTGGAGGAGAGTATAATGGATAATGCTTCAAGCGTGAAGCTGGTATGAGGACGGGTCTTGGCTTGTACGGACAGCGGTGGCACCGGAGTCGCAGTAAAGACAGAACAACGATGCTGGCGCTTATTCACGCTTCTTCCGCAACTGCATTGATCAAGCTCCCCGCTCGAGAAGCTGAGGATTCGCTCTATCGCGGCATCTGTTGCACGTCATCTTTAGCTACCAGATTCTTTGCTAGGATGTCTCAACGTGTTCGTGAGTGACAGCTTTTACTCCTAGATTTCTGGTCTCTGAACATCGTTTAGAGAAGGGAAACACTGTCTTCAAACCAGTCGCCAAACCACGACCCCGGGTTGGCGGAGAATCTCGACAGCCTTCTGTCCTCCAGGACACGGCAGCTGCAACAAGCCCTCGTAATGTGCTTGAGCCCCCGGTATCCAAGGTGCCTTTCACTCCGTCTCCAATGTCGGTACCTCAGCGACATCCAACGGAATCCTCCATCTCCGAGAATGCTGCGCAACCCACTCATATGCCTAGCGTTAACTCCGGCATTGGCGTAACAGCCTCTTCCTCGTCTCGTCATGTCGTGGAGGCCTCCGTAGTCTCATCGGCCCTACCACTCGTGTCCGGGAACCAGCCTTCTCAATTATCACCTAGAGTCGGCTCATCGCAATCATCCCCGCGAGTTGGAGTCGCTATCAGTGTGCCCTCGCGAACAATGCTCCAAGTACCTCCTTTTCCACCCACCGTAACGTCCATCGTTCCTGTAGGCCACTCTTCTACGACCGGATCTATCGCTGAGCCTGGCTCCACGTCTGGTGGACATTCTTTCGCGTCACCATCGACTGCTGGATTTGCAAGTCATTCTGCTCCGCCGTCAGACCCGTTTGACTCATCCCAGATCGATCCGCAACTGATGGGACCGCCTGGTCTCGCAGATGCTACTCCCCCTCTCTCGCAAGATATCATCCCGACTGAACTCTCTGCGGAACATATATCAACTGTTAACCCGAGTGACATCCCTTCTGAGGATCAAGTCCGCCGCACGCTGGGAGGAAAGCCAAGTGCAGGTAGTGAACAGGCCGCTGAGGGGGTAGTAACCCGTATGAACCACTTTTACAAGCTTACCGAAACAGCACTGAACTTTAGCCCTAGATGACAGTGCCCAACCCGGCAGCGGCCCAGCGAAGGAAAGGCGCCCCAGTAAAGCAACGGTTGACGGTGAAGACAATGCCGAGCAGTCTACGACCCGGAAGCGTAAACGATCTGAGACTGCAGAGCCACGTCGATCTCGTAAACGAGCTTCTTCTACCCCACCGTTCGACCCTGATGCGGACCCGGGTGAAGAATTGGATCCCACATCAGTGACGATGGCTTCGCTCTGTGATGATACGGGCAGAGGCCGGGTGAGCAGCAAAGCAGCGCAGGTCGTCAGTAATCATGCTGCTTGGCGCGCGGCCAATCGAGAGAAGCGTGCTCGATTAAAGGCCGTTATGGAGGCGAAGAAGTACGGAAGAAAAGTCGAGGACGAAGAGGGCGGTGCTCGTAGCGTAAGCAATGGCGCAACAAGACTCAAAGAGCAAACAGCGAGTTCCGCGTCGCGCGCTGGATCTGTCGCGTTCGATCCGACTGCCGCGAGTGCACCTCCGACCTTGTCTGAGGAGGTCGAGAAGGGCATCGATGGCTTTGATTATACCGAAGAGATGACCGTAAGCCGGTACAACGTGCAGGTTCGTATCGGCGCCAATGGCGAAACTATCATCGACGAAGAGTCGCTGTTTGTCAATCGTAATGAGGAGCATCAAACAGAGGATTACACGCATGTGGAAGAGTCCGATTTGACGAAGTTCGTCAATTCTGCGACATATAGCAAGAAGCTCCGTGGTTCTCGCTGGAGCGCCGAAGAGACGGAGATGTTTTACGATGTACGTCTATATCATCGTATCACATCTTTCTGACTGACACATGTATTAGGCACTTTCGCAGTTCGGCGAGAATTATGAGCTTATCTCGTACGTCTTGCCTGGGCGGGATCGCAAGGCCTGCAAGAATAAATTCAAAGCCGAGGATAAGAAGAATCCAGCGCGGATCACGTATTGCCTCAAGAATCGTCGACCATATGGTACGAATGTAGTTCCTCTCTGGCTCCCAGTAGGTCCTTGGCTGACGTATTTGAAAGATATTGCAACATTATCTCGCATGACAGGCAAAGACTTCTCTGGGCCCACTCCCGAAATTAGGGCTCCAACGCCCCTACGGTCAACAGAGTTGCAGACCAAAGCCGAGTTCGCCACTCCGCCATCTCCTCAAGCGGTCCGTAAGAGCAGTCGAACGCCAAGCATGCAAGGCCCTGATGTAGAGGTCGTTGACGACATTGACGGCAACGGAAAGGAAGATGAGGAGATTGGACAGGAAGTGGGCTCTGCTCAAGCATGAAACAGCTCTATGCCACCGTCGATGTCTTTGTATTCCGAACGATGGTGATTCTGGACTTCTCGTGACTGCATGCCAAGACCGCCACCGAGGGACACATCGAGGGGCAGGAAGCTGAGTGCCTTCCTGGTCGATTTAATGCGGCTGATCTTACACGAGCCGGGATAGCTTAGCTGGGAGAGCAACAGACGGAAGCCTGTTTTGAGCATTTTGGAGGTCGCGTGTTCAATCCACGCTCCTGGGATTGAGTTCTCCTTTTGATGGTCACGTGATTCCGAAAACGCGTCGCGACCCGCACCGCTCCTGCAGGATCGGGTCCCGCCATTGACCTCTCCACTTGCCTCCTACCACCAGTTTTGCCTTGATATTGAGCTTGTCCTAACATGGTTCGTCGTGTGCAGTCCCAAAGCTTCCCTACTCCGTCACGTCCTTCTACTCCCATGGGGGACGACGTCGAAGAGGTATTGTATTGCTGATATATTTTTGAGCGCATATAGTTACGTCTTTCTGCTAGGGGCCATACTTTGACAGTGTGGATGAATTGCAACAACATGTACATTGTTTCATGGTTTCGTTTCTTGAGTGGAGGGCTAATGCGGTGGTATACAGGGAATAAACGTCCAAGACATCTTGAAGCTCAAAGTATCTCCTACATTACATGACGCGCCTTAAATTCTCACCTCACCTACGCAGGCTGCTGCTATCAATACCGTGTCCGGCGTGAATATGACGACTAGAAGGCAAATGTTGAAGATCAAGGTGGGTAGCGATGTGATCGCGTCTAACGCAATCGTCGTCATCGTCGACTTCAGGGCATGTCAGAAGCCAAAGTAGAGAAAATCAAGGTCAGGATTATCCCTACAGAGCTGAAAGTGGCGTGTGCTCACAGCGTACTGAGTTAGGAGGCCGCACATAAGATCTTGGTTCGATGCGGATTTCGAAGACTCATATATGCTCCTAACCATTATGACAGGGCTCCTCCTTCGCCACTGGATTGGAAGTGCAGGAAAAGCGTAAGCGGGTGCTCGTCATCAGTACCGGAAGTAAGGCCGTCGATTCTGCATTGGGCGGTCAGTCATCTCCCTTTTGCATAGGCAAGCTGATCTTTAAATTCGCATAGGAGGAATCATGTCTCAGTCCATTACCGAGGTCTACGGGGAGTTCAGAACGGGAAAGACCCAGTTAGCTCATACTATGAGTGTTGTCGCTCAGCTTCCCCCGGAAATGGGGGGTGCCTCCGGAAAGGTTAGTCTCACACGTACACGGATACTTTGCATGGGATGTCAACTTCCAGCATATAGGTAGCATATATTGACACTGAAGGTACGTTCCGGCCGGACCGTATCCGATCAATTGCAGACCGCTTCGGAGGTAAAACGCCTCTCTACATAATTTGAAGCGTGCTGAATATGTGCATAGTCGACGGCAATATGGCTCTTGAGAATATCCTCTATGGTCTGTCGTCCGACTTATCTGTAGATATATCTCACACATAGGGTTCCCGGCGAATAGCGAGGGCGCATAACAGCGAGCACCAAGTATGTTGCTCTGATAACTCGGTACTTTTGCTGACCAAGCGTAGATGGAGTTGATCAATGAATGTTCCATACGATTCGCGGAAGACAAGGATTTTCGGCTTCTGGTGATCAGCTTCCTCGTTTCTGCTGAAATGTTCATGCTGAAAGACTACCAGGTCGTCGACAGTATCATGGCTCTGTTCAGAGCCGACTACTCCGGCAGAGGCGAACTGAGTGAACGACAGCAGAAGGTGAGGTGGCGGTATACGCTGAACGGTATCAAGATTGAGGCTCACGGCATTCGATCAGCTTGCCCAAGTATGTCGTGCTCTCCTTACATGTCCTACACCAGCCACCTATCCCTTCAGATGCTTTCGAAACTCAGCAAACTCTCCGAGGAATATAATGTGCGTATAGAGCAGCTTATTGAAGGAATCGTCAAATCTGCTGACTTCTCATAGATCGCTATCCTCATAACAAACCAAGTACAATGTTGAGGGATCTCCTTTTGTACCGGCGGATATCTGCTCACTCGCAAGGGTCAGCTGATCCGGGTGCTACCATGACGTTTGTGGCTGGCGGCGCATTGAAACCTATTGGTGGCCATATTCTCTCTCATGCCTCAGCTACGCGGCTATATCTCAGGAAAGGTCGGGCTCCACCGTTTTGCTATATTTCAAACATTTCTCTGATCTGCGCATTGCTTATCTTAGGCCGAGCTGAAGAACGCGTTGCCAAACTCGTCGACAGCCCGGACAGGCCAGAGAGTGAAGCAGCGTACAAGCTCGACGAAGGAGGCTGGGCCGATGTCTGAAGTATGCTTGGAATGCACTGTTTGGCGCTGCTGGGCCCGCTTGCTGCTCTTCCGACGACTCAATGGCTCTTTCTGCTGGTCTGGCTCTGGTGGCGCCTTCACTTGCACATATATGCAAGGCTTGTGAGACCCTGGCTATGTCTGTTCTCTCACGTCACTCCTCTACCGTTTTCCGGCCGCCACTGCCTCGTAGTAGCTAGAAGGGGGGTAGAATTTTGAGTGGAAATAAAACGGGCGCTCTGATCCCAAGCCACCGGTCCAATTCGGCCAGCTCGGATCGATGTGACACGGCACCTCAGTATTGTAGGAGGCAAGTGCTGGTCTGCCAGGTAGAAAAAGTGAAACCTATCTTTGACCACGGCATGTTATAACATGGGGGTACGTGCAATCTGGGGATATGTCGGTCGTATGAGATTGCCTCGATAACTCCACGTGTGATGACGGCACGGACTGACGCTAGCCCCTCCTGCTTCCGCATCCAATCCCACGAAACGTAGCGGAATGTACGGAAGGCAGTCGGCGTGATCCCCGCCCTGAGCCTCGGGGCCCGGCGGCCACACGTTCTTCGTCTTCGAGGTGATCCTTGTTAGCTCTCCATTCAACGTTGTCCACATCACCCAGGCACCTCTCCCAATCGTGGCCAGTGCAGACGTCACCGACGCCGTCGCATTTGATGGATGTCTACGGTTGGCTGATGGGTGTACTCAGCGTCGCGATGCATGTGAGCATCTCTCGTCTTATGTCGGCAGCACGATAGCACGTTGGTTATGCCCGCCGATGCGCCCAGCTGTATATATACCTGGGATTCGTGGCTTAACAACGGTGCCCGCGCTAGGTTCACTGCCACACGACATGGCTGCCGCGATTGGTCTCGTGTCCGCCCTTCTCGCCCTCCAGGCTGGCGCCCGCGCCTCGTCGCTCCTCGGCCTGCCACGGACATTCCCTAACATCTCTGCCTGTGTGAACGAGCCACTCACTTATTCATGCGAAAACACGACGGCGATCCAGAACACCTGCTGCTCCCCTACTCCCGGGGGACTGGTACTCCAGACGCAGTTTTGGGACACTTACACTGGCCTGGAGCACCAGGGACAGCTGTTGCCCAAGGATAGTTGGACTATCCACGGCCTGTGGCCGGATAATTGTGACGGGTTCGCGTTCTGTCTTGTGGTACCACGTCACAGACGCTGATAGCTGGATTCCAGGTCCTTCGATCAGTATTGCGATTTGTCCCGGCAATACGACCCAGACCCATCGCCTTCCGTTCTGCCCGACGGCACGAGAGTACCTCCGTACAAGGGGCCGGGTGTCGACACATTCGTGCGCGACTTCGGTCGTGTGGACCTCCTAGACTACAGTATGTGAAGCTCCATCTGCCCAGCAGCACTGACCAATATGCCATTACAGTGGAGAAGTACTGGGTTAGCCAAGGGAGTCCGAACAAAGACTTCTGGGGCCACGAGGTGTGTCCCTGATCACACCGACTCAGATTAACCGGACCTTGAGTCCATACTCCGTGTGCAGTTCTCCAAACACGCCACCTGCACGTCGACCTTCGATGTCGCCTGCTATGGTCCTGATTACAAAAAGCATCAGGATGTGGTCGACTTCTTCGACGCAGTTGTGCGTGCATACAAGATGTATCCTACCTGGGAAATTCTTGCCGCGTGAGTAGTTCTACGAAAGTTGCTTGCAAGAGATGACCAACCTTTGAACCCAGCTCTGGTATCTTCCCGTCCAACAAGACAACATACACACTCACGCAGCTGCAAACCGCGTTGAAAGCGCAGACTGGCGCCATCCCCTACCTCGGATGCGGGAATAACGGAACCGTTCTGCAGGAAGTATGGTATTTCCACCATGTTAAGGGAACTGTAAGCTGTTCACTCTCGTCGTGTTGGAGGACAAGATTGATCATCCCCCTCAGGAGCAATTTGGTCACTTCAAGACGGTGGACTCGACGACTGAGTCGACCTGCTCCCCGACTTCTGGTATTCATTATTATGAGCGCACTCCTACCTCTGAGCGTGAGGTCAGAATCTTGCCTTGAGAGTATAAGTGGTCTCCAATGCGTCAATGTTATACCGCTGGGTTCCCATCATCGGCAGCCAACAGCCAGCACTGACGTTGTGTATCAAGTCATGAGACATTCGTATGGAATCCACCACGCTCGAAGCATAGGGGCATGCCCAATATGTGAACGTCATGGCCTGATCACTGCATATATACGCAAAGCGCTGTTCGTGGGATAACCTCCGTGAACGATGTTACCAATCCCTTTGAGGAGTCTTTTACGTACCTTTCGTATCTTCTCCTTGTGCGCAACGCGGAGGCCGGTCCTGTGTCCAGATCGAGTTTTTGTTCTGGGCGCTTACAGTCACGGCCCGTCACTTGCTCCTGTCATTGCGTCTGGAGAACCAATGCCGCCAAATTACGAGCTTCAGTCGTACTGGAACAAGCGGTTCGACGAGGAGAGACACTTCGAATGGCTCGGCGATGGCATGGACACTATTGTTCCTCACGTTCGCTCACACTTGCTTGACTCCCGTGCCAACGCGAGACCCTCGCCAAGCTCCCCTCCTCGGCTGCTGCACGTCGGAGCTGGGACGTCTTCTTTGCCAGAACGACTTCGCGAACTCTATATTGACGTTTATGGGGACGATGTGGATGAGCGGATGATTGTGCACACGGATTTCGCTGATCATCTCGTGACGCGGAAGCGCGAAGCGGAGGAGGCGAGACGTGCGGTGTGGGGACCTCGGAAAGGCATGCGCTGGCTCTGCGCGGACGCACTCAAATGGCCAGAACTGAAGGGCCTCCTGGAATTGAAAGGCCACCTGGAGCCGAAGAGTAACATGTTCGACTTAGTCGTGGACAAGAGCACGTCGGATGCCATCTCATGCGGGGAAGACG